CCTAGTGCAGTGGTTCTCAAACTTTTGTACTGGTGACCCCTTTCACATAGCAAGCCTCTAAGTGCAACCCCCCCTTATAAATTAAAAACACTTTTTAATATATTTAACACCATTCTAAATGCTGGAGGCGAAGCAGAGTTTGGGGTGGAGGCTGGCAGCTTGCAACCCCCCATGTAATAACCTCACGACCCCCTGAGGGGTCCCGACCCCCAGTTTGAGAACCCCTGCCCTAGTGTCTCAGGCTTGGCTCTCTCTTCCATCATCACTCTTGAGTACTGTTCTTCTCACCAGCTCTGTCCCAGCATTCAGGCAAATTTGAACACTGCCAATTATTGCTTGGTTCAGATGCAGAAATGACATTGGCAGGTCACAGGAAAGGTTTAGAATCAACAATTCCCTTAAGTGGGCCCAGATTTCCAGCTAGCAAGTAGTGGAGGTTTCAGGCCGCGCTTCCTGACTATACCGTCTGAGGAACTCATTCCCTCCCATTCAGCCTCTTCGGCCCCACTAACGGCCATGCTCTTCTAGAAGCTTTTCCCTAGATTGCCAGGGCACTGGTATTCCTGTCACACTCCTGCTGGATTCTCAGATACAAACTGGTGGGCGTTCTACACACATACACGTCCAGGGCCAGAATTTGGGCCACGGGTTGACATGTGATAAGATCAGAATCATGCTTGTTGAAGTTTAGATAACAATGGGAATCTGCCAGTAACACCGGTGCCAGAGGGACCTGAGGAGAAAGTTAAGGAAGGGTGGCAGTAGGAGAGTTGAGGAAAGCTGTCAGTGAATGAGTTGGTAAAATCAAGCCAATTGAGGGCTAGTGCACCGGGCTGTGACGGCCCAAACCTTGACTGTGACAGCTAGAAATTGGTGCCAAATCAAGTGAACTGTTCACTCAATCTTCCCTGTGCCCTGCTGCTGTCAGTACTTTTGAGACTAGTAAGAACTGACAGCACCGAAATTAGCTGAATGCAGGGACGGAGCTGGCGAGAACAACACACCGCAGAGCTCACGATGCAGAGAGCTAAACGCAGATGCTGCTACTACATCAGGATGCAGTGAGACAAACCATGAGTGGGTGGCAGCGCTCTCCTCTTGTCCTGCCCTGTTAGCAGGTGTTAGAACTCAGGGGGGAGATGTTGTTGACTCATTGTGGCAGGTGCAGTTTGTTAACTTCAGACCTGCCAGTGCCTGGCAGCTTGTGTGACATGCACATCTATAAGGCCCCCTTGTGTACTCCTGGAGCCCAGACAGCTCCACACATTCATATGGGCTTAGGGGGAGCAGCAAGTTGATCCTCACAGTCACGGAAAGTAGCCTCTTTCCCTGGCCAGTTCCCAGCCCACATGGTGCAGCAGGGAGGGAAAGAGGAGGAATCCATGGGGGTCAGTGCCCCACATGCAGGGTAAGTGAGAGGCTAATAGGGAGAACCAGCTAGGGAGGGGGACAAAGGAGGGGACCAGGAGCTTCTGTTGGCATTAGGAGTTAATGGGGGACCAGCATTGAGAGGGGCTAGCAGAGACTGAATGAGAAGCAGGTGTGAGTGAGAGAGGCTAATGAGGGAAACAGAATGGGAGAAGAACTAAGCGGGGCAGGGTAGGGAGAAGATCTGATGGGGGAACTACCTAATGCCACCCTATAGCAACACCCCCCCCCCAATTCCTCTAGTAACTCCCCTGCTTCTTTTCCAATCAGCAACTGCACCCTCTTGGGCTCCCAGATATCTTTGCCTTCCCCTCTACTTCCCCACAAACCCTCTCCTCTAGCTTGAGGGGTGCAAGGAAGGTCCTGCTTCCCTACACCTACTCTCTGTGTTCAGTGGAACCCTAAGTGGGAAATCAGTGACTTGTTGTCATAAGAGATCAAGTAGGCAGACACCTTTCACTAGCAGTACACCCACATAGCTTTACAAATGATGTTTATATGCAAGTTATCTGAGATTATGCAAATTGGCTCAGTAAATAATTTGCATAAAATGTGACATGGAGCTGAAGAAAACTTGGCAACTATAACTCTATTGGGTTTTTTTTTTTGGATGAGATTACAAGTTTGCTTGTTAAAGGTAATAATGTTAATGTGATATGCAGCGGCAGCAAACAGGGCGGCTAACAGGGGAGTTTGAGAGGGAGTTCTCATTGGAGGAGAAGGTACCTGTATTTGCA